TAAAATCCTGTGGTTCTATTGAATTCATCGATTCTGAGAGTAGCGAAAACCGCTATCCGGACTCTCAGCTGCGACTTGGTCTTGCCCCTAAGTTCGCACGTAATATCGGTTTGTGCAGGATATTTATTTAATTGTCTAACATAAATGCCAACATTTTTGATATAAATCGGGAAAGTATCACTAATTACAATACGTAGACGTTAGAGCTTATCCATGACACTACAGCACTACCTGGCTTGTATGCTTTCAGTCATTATCCTGTTGAAATCTCCATATTCTTCCAAGCAGTCTCCTGATTTCTGGAAGATGTTTCTCCAAAATTTCTGTGTATAACCTTGCATCCATGATGCCTGTAAAACAGTGTAAACTGGTTTTGCCCTTGGCACAAAACTCACCCCCAGGCAAAAACTTTTTGGTGATTTTAGGAAGTGTATTGGTCTAGGACCTTTATAACAAACTGATATTGTATTCCTGAACAGTTGAAAAGCTGTTTCATCTGAAAATAAGGTTTTTTTTCATTGGTCATTTAAATAATTTGTGGCTCATGCAACTCGGTTTGCCTTTTGGTCAGCTGTTAACATAAACATTGGTGTGCCATTTGGAAGGCCACTTTTATAACCAAGCTCTCTTAAACGTGCTCCAACTGTTACATGTGATACTTCAACCCCATCCCCAGAAAGTTTGGTGGCCAAGGTTCACAAGGATACAGAATTATCTTTACGAATGTATTGTTTAAGCTCATGCAATTTATTGGGCTCTATTTTCTTTCGACACCCATTACATCGTCTATGCATAACATTACCAGTTTTTTTTTTTTAATTTTCGAATAAATTGCTTCTTTTTTAGTGGGATTTTCCTCAATATTAGCAGTTAGTGCACGGCAACTCCTGCCTTGAGCGCGACTATTTATTCTTCGACTTCTTACGCCCATATCACTCTTGCCGGCTTAGCCATGCGATATCTTTATAATTAATTGTTGAAAAGGAAATGCCAGTGATTTTGTGGAGTTCTGTTTGAGATCCGGACTCTATTATTCCAAAATGCATAAGTGTTTGGCGTTGGGAATTAACCTTGTTTTCAGTCATCTTTAATGTACAAGGAATAAAGTTTAAGGGCTCAAATTGAAACCAAGGCAAGTTTTATGGTTTGTTTTTGTTTTCAAAAAAGATCTGACGCGTTTATTATACTCAATATGGAAAAGACACGTTTTAAGTTTTACGTGTCCAGAGGCCAATTTTTTTCTTAACACACTGTATATATCGTATTCTTCCGAAAATAAGCAACACTCTTTTGTTATAGTGTTGCTTATTTTCGGGTAGTTTAATAAAATGAAAGAAATTCCCACTGAATCATGTGATTTCTGTCGATGCAATTTCATTTGCATTTACCACGCAATACGCGAAGCAGACTTTAAAACTATTCTTCTTCTATACAAACGACAAAACAAAGAGTTGTTAATACTATTAAACGTAAGACCCAATTTGTAAAACAAACGCGGGTGGTGGTGCTGGAGCAACCGTCTCGGGAAATCTTCGCCGCGCAAGTCTTAGTGATCTATGTTTATGGTAAACGTTCATGAGAGCGTATTTCTACTGATATAATCATTAAGTCCTTTAAATTTCAAACTCTGATGATGTCAGCGACAATGATGATGTTAATGATGATCGTGATGACGAGAATACCACTGGCTCCGTCATTGGCGAGGATGATAATTGACAATATCATGACTCTGATTATGTAATATTAGTATGTTAGCGTCAGAAAAGCGTGCACGTGTTATATGAAGCCAATTACCTAATTCGACATTTTTGATCGAATAACCGGCCGCGCTTGTGCGAACTCACTACTTATCAGACATTGAACCATAGCGATAGATTGTGTAATTTTTGGGTTAGACACAAACAGAACGTTTGCACGTTTCTTTGCAGGCATTAATTATATCGTCTTCAATGAACAAAATGTCAGCACAGCGTGGACTACGTAACCGATAGTTGCAGATGTGGCTCTAGGTATGTGCAACTTGGCACGATTGTATCTCTAAAGCATTACCTGATTGTCTACCCTCCAAAATCTTTCCAATATTCCCAGCCAGGGGTCTTATTGTCAACATGATCGGACATAGTAATATGGAGAGGAAGCAGTAAAATACTTGTCATATCTAAAAGTACAATGATGATTATTTATTGATAGTGTTGTGGATATACAGCACATTTCTCAGCCGACTGTATATATAATATTGTACTTGTGGTTATTTGCATAAAGACGCTGTGATGAGAATACAATCAATCAAATTACACGCGTTCGACCGGTCACCAAACAAGTATTCAGAGATGCGTCGATATACGTAACACATTCAACTCCAGTTTTCAAAAATTATCACTGGAATATTTGAACTCATCGCTTCAAGTTTATATCTCAGAGGGCTCTGGGCTAATAAATAAAAGAGAACTTATCCGAATCTCGCGAAACTATCACTTATTTGTTTGTTCAACTTCTAACATTGATGGCACTGTGGCATCAAATGATGTAATGATATTTAACTAACGAGAAGAAAGCGTCCGCGTTCCCGATAAATTGCCTTTGTATAGATGTTCAATGAACGTTCTGGTGCTTATTGTTATTATCATTCTGTGACTAGTTTAAACGATAATAATAAACTTTACACTGTTACACAAAACCGTGTTTATAAGAAGCAAAATTTTCCCACAAATCATGGCTGGGGAAAAAGGACGATTGCGGCAATTCTATACTCATTTGAGTGTTTCAAGAAATTGTTGAATTTACAATGGATGTCGAAATCAATCAAGAGGTTTGTCTGCAGAATTTCCTTGACCCTCTATCGCGTTTTCTCCAATCCTTTTGTTTTAACCGATGTGGTGCTTTACTTAGGGAATTATCCCCAAAGCATATGGTGACCTAAAGGCTCTTTACAGTTTTTCCGCTGAAGAATTGGAAGGAACCGATATAACAGCTAATACCTAAACACGAAACAATCTCTGTATTCACGGACGATTCGTCAAAGACTATCTAAATTTACAGCAGCCACTCTGTTTCTCAGAGGAAGATTCCCGATTGTTGGAGACCGCGAATGAACTGGGGATCAGATGCAGTTGACGTCCATCTCTCTTATTATTGGGGTTGTTACTGCTTATTTGTCGGGGATTATTCAGGCTCGTAGTACGGATATGGCAGAATAATTGTTTGGGACAAGTAGACAAGCATCAATCGAAAAGACGAATATACAGTCTTTGTTACCAAAATTCCGGGCTTGAACGATATTTTGAAATCAAAGCACGACCTAATCGAAGCAACTGTCATACTGCAATCCTGCTCAAGCTGACGTATTTTATTCGCGAAAATTTCCACGTCTCCCCGCGGACCGCCTGGCATTACCGCGGTGCATAGAGATGAGACCGAATTTAATGTTGATATGATGCGATTAGTCGAATATGCTAACGAGCCGTTGCGTGCATTATGGATATCATACGACAGAAGCCTGGATGCGGGGCCAAACGAGAATGACAAAGTTCGACCTACCATAGCCAATTCAAAGAAAGGTGACGAGGCAAAGACCGAAGAGGCAATGCAGACAGAGGAAACTGTAGAGTGATGATGATGAAAATGCTCATGTCGAAATTCCTGGCCACTGGTGGAAGACCTCCAACGCAGGTGGTTGAGGATGATACGTCACCCTACTAATTTCTTCAGGCGAAGAATCGTACGGTCGTTACTCGTGCAAAACTATTGATGATTACAAGAGCCTACGCATCTTGGGAGAGGCGCTTATGGGATGCATACAATGCGAAAGAAAAGTGAGTCTGCGAGTGTGTACGGCTGAGCGAGAAAACAGGAGCTCGTGTATCCATCGGCTTGTATTATTTTTTTTTGAAATCGCTTATAATACTTTTGTTCATTGAAGACGATATAATTAATGCCTGCAAAGAAACGTGCAAACGTTCTGTTTGTGTCTAACC